AAGAAAGTTGTCTTAACATATATTTGATGTATCTCAAGATTATATAGCAATAAGAATGTGAATGGATGTAATCTTTGTTACTGAAGAGTAGGTGTCAAAATAGCCTAGACCTTCCTTTTGTCTATAACTTTTAACCACAAGTCTTACTTTATACTTGTCTATTGAACCATCTGCTTTCATTTTCCTCTTTAATATCCATTTATACCCAAGAGTTTTGTACCCAGGTGAAAGATCCACTAACTCCCAAGTGTCATTTTGCATGATGGATTCAATTTCACTATTAATAGCCTCTTTCCATAATGGTGCTTCAGGAACCAACAATGCTTCTTTAAAACTTCGAGGCTCATTTTCTAACAGGTATGTAAGAAAATCTAGACCAAAGGATTTTGATGTTCTCGCTCTTTTACTGCATCTTGGTTCATCCACTATTTTTGGTCTTATTTTAGTCTTTTTTTAGGAACAGGAACTTCTACCTTTGCTAGACACCCCCACACTTTAAAATATTTGTAGGAAAGCGGTCGACCTTTCCATAACTCATAAAGAATGCTATCTGTTTTCTTGTGGGGTATTCTGTTAAGAATATAATTAGCAGACAATATTGCTTCCCCCCACAAGTTCTGTGGTAAGCCTTCCCTTCCTCAAAACAAGTTTTGTGGTAAGCCTAAGCTTAGTAACATGACATTTATCATTTCCTTAAGGGTTCTATTCTTCTTTTCCGCAATTCCATTTTGCTGAGGAGAATATGTTGATGTAGTTTGATGAATAATCCATGTTGTGCACAAAATTCATTTAAAGTTTCATCATATTCACCATCCCTATTACTTCTAACCATTTTAATGGTTTTACTTAATTGATTTTCAACCTCGGTTTTGTAAAGTTTAAACATTTCTAAGGCCTCATCTTTACTTCTAAGTAAGAATATATAACAATATCTTGTGCAATTATCAATAAATGTTATGAAATACTTTTTGTCTCCTCTAGTGTGAACGAATTTAAGATCACAAATATATCAGTATGAATTAATTCTAGAGGTTCAGTTTTTCTTCCAACTGATTTGAGTGGTGTCTTAGTCAATTTCGCTTCTACACATGCTTCACATTTATGATTAGGATCAATTTGAAATTTTGGTTTATAATATAAACCAATGAACCTACGTAAAGCATCCAAATTTATATATCATAATCTACCATGCCGTAAATAAGACTCGAGAATATGAACAAAAGTTGTGTTAATTTTATTAATAGCAGAAACTGGTACAATAGTCATTACATTCAATTTGAAGAGCCCATCGCTCATATACCCTTTACCGACATACATGCCACTCTTAGTTAGTACAAATTTATCAGACTCAAACACAAGCCTAAAAATATTTTTACTCAACAAAGATCCAAAAACTAGATTCTTGCGAATGTCTGGTATATGCAACACGTTGTTCAGAGTAAGTTACTTCCCCGAGGTCATTTTCAATATCACCTTTCATTGTCCAGCTACGACAAAAGTAAAAGAATTTCCCATGAAAAGTTGTTCCCTATTGGAAGCCTCACTATATGAAAAGAACATCTTCTTATTCACACAAATATGACGAGTTGCCCCAGTGTTAACCCATCACTCCTTGGGATTTCCAACCAAATTAGCCTCGGACACTACAGCAGAAAGATTGATGTTATTTATCCTTCCAGAGATGTAATCTAGTTTTGTCACATTGGCTTGATTGGTAATCTTTTTACTTATACTTTTGCGATCCTTCTTAGGGCGTCGACAATCAGAGGCACGATGTCCAGTCTTGCCACAGTAATAGCATTTCCTTTGAAATTTTTATTGCCATTTTTGTCGCCTTGTTTAGGACCATCTCCAACAAACTTCCTCTTATTGTTATGTGGTTTGGGCACTTGATCCACTACATTAGCCTTGGACTCAATGGAATTTTTACCATTCCTCTTTTCAATATTCTGATTATCTTCTTCAATTGTCAATCGAACAATAAGTTCTTCCAATGTTATCTATTTGCGTTTATGATTAAGGTAGTTCTTGAAATCTTTCCAAGCAGGCAGTAATTTTTCCACAATTGCAGCAACTTGGAAAGATTCGCTGAGAGACATACTTTCAGCATGAATATCATGCAAGATGAGTTGGAGACTTTGTACTTGGCTAATAACCGTTTTAGAATCAATCATGACAAAGTCCAGAAATTTCCAACAACGAATTTCTTTGTGCAGGCATCCTTTGTCTTGTATTTTTTCTCTAAAGAATCCAACAATTCTTTTGCTGTTTGAAGAGATTGTAAACATTGTACAGCATGTTTTCTAGGCCATTAAGGATGTAATTCTTGTAAACAAAATAAAAATTCTTCCAAGCATCCACTGTGGCAACAACTTGCAGATCACTTTCATCCTCTTTAAGTACTAGAGCATCTTCATGGAGAAACTAGGCAAGATTAAGAGTTGTCAGATAAAACAGTATTTTCTGCTGCCATCTCTTAAACTCTATACCATTAAATTTTTTCGATTTCTTTCCATGATTCACAGGAATTTGAACAAAGTTCTGGGTAATGGCCGGTGTTAGTGTAACAACCGGATTGGAGGTACCAGTTTCACGAGCAACACAATTTTCTAGTTACAAAAACTAGAAGAAAAAAATTAAAATTTTGAATACAATGAAGAAATGAGTCTGTCTTAAGATTGTTAGACAATCTTCACTGTAGTCAATGAATTGATTAAGGAAGAATAAAATATGTTTGATTACTTAAATCAAAACAGAACATAGAATAATAAAATATGGAAAAACCTATTCTGATTTTGTTACACAAAACAAAACAGAATAAAAAAATAAAAAATAAAAAAACAACCTAAAATGAAAATCGCAAACAAACTACTTATAGTATTACTTCTTCGGAAATTCAATCAAGCCCAGTGTTGAACACTGTCTCCTTATGACAGATTCGTCATCTCCACGGTGTTTTTAGAATGTGGACGTCTATCTCCCAGGATAAAATGATCGATGACAATTAGTAGCAGCACTACAAACTAAATGTCTAACGAACACACTTCGTGTTTATACTCTTTCTTATAGAAAAGTTATGCAACAAAATGCAGGAAGCAAAAGCAGAAGGAAGAACAAAAATTGAATGAAAAACCAAATGAAGGACTTGTTTATTTATAAGAGACTTTGTGGCTGTTCGAGATAGATTTGAATAGGTAAAGAACCTGTTCGGGTTGATTTTGAACAGGTAAAGAACCTTTTTGGGTTGGAGGAAAAGGTGCTTTGGACTAAACTGCCAATGTTCAGAAACATTGGGATCATTTCAAAAAAAAATTTGAATTTCAAATTCCAAATGGTAAGAATTTAATTTTAGAAAAATAAAATTCAAATATTTTTGCCCCAAAAAGATAAGCAATAGACTACACAAGCCTAACCCAGCCTCATACCCAAGCCCAGGCCGGGCAGGGTGCAACGGCGGCACGTGTGTGTGGTAGATATTGGGTCCAATGGTCAAGACCCACTTTCCACATAACCTCTCCCTCCACAAAACTTGGGTACCTCTTGGGGCCCTCCCCAAGATACAAACTTAAGGCTTATAAACCCACACCAAGTTTGCCTACTTAAGCAATGTGGCATAAGCCTTTCTCCACCCCTTATGGAAACCTCATCAAAACACCATTTCCATAGTGTCCATTTTGGTATTGATTTTCCATTCACCCGATAATGGTTTTGAGCAACCAAATATAAAACATGAATCATTACGCAGCAAAGAATGCATTGCCACATAGACCCGCCAACTTTAATACATGGATCTCATTTTAAAAAGTAGACCAAAGTTTAGGAAAAAACTCTTTTTTTTTTCTTTTCTTTTTGTTTTTTTTTTCTTCCCAAAACCATTTCTTACGCTTCTCAAATTATAGCATTATTGTCATAATTTGATAAAAGTCTTTCTTACCAAAAAGTAAAGTTTGAAAATATCCTAAAGTTTTCTCCCAAAATAATAATAATAATATTAATATTTAATTAACAATTACCAAACGCATTAATTTTTTTAAAATAATAAAACAGAAAAGCAAAACTCAAAAAACATGATGAGTTTTTTTAGTACGATAAATTAGGAGTAGCCATCGGCCTGACGGACTGTCCAACTGACCTAGTCCAGCTCAATACTTCTAGGATTTAGAAATTTTATTTTGCTTATAGGGCAGTATTGGGTTGAAATTGTGTCAATTTAATATTCAGTTTGAGTTTGGGATAAAGAGTTCTAACCTACATTACAAAAATTTTGATTTTTTGCGACGCACGATGCCGTCGCTAATACTCTTAATGTCGTCTCAAAAAAGTTTTAGCGACGGCAAATGACTTTTAGTGACGACAAATGGGGGGTCACAACAGAGGACGTTGCAAAAACCTTTTAGCGACAGCAATTGTTACCTTTTACGACAGCAATTTACTGTCGCATATAATATGTAAAAAAGTCAGACCTTTTGCGACGGCACCGTTTTGTCGTCGCTAAAAGTTTTATTTGAGACGGCATAAAATGCTATCACGAATGGTTTTGTTTTTTTGCAACGGCATGCCCACTGTCACCAATGGTTCTAATATTTTTTGCGACGGTATGGTGCCGTCGCAAAAAAAAAATGCAATATAATTATTAAAAATATTAAAATTACATTTTTTTGTGACGGTGTGGTGCCGTCGTAAAAAATAAATAAATAAATAAACTGTAATATAATTATTAAAAATATTAAAATAATCTGTTTTTGCGACGATGTGGTGCCGTCGCAAAAAAAATTATTAAAAATATTAAAATTACCTGCATTAAATGAAAAACAATTGAAAAAGAAACCAATGATTGCATAATAATACAAAAATTCCTGTATAGAAAAAATAATTTCTTCATAATAAAAATATTCTTGCATTCATAACTACACATCAACAAAATTTCCCCACTACATAATATTCCATAATACATATATAATGTTTAAATACATAATGTTGTTCATAATTCAAAATAACATAAACCAAGTTTTGCTCATCATTCTCCGTGGGTTAAAAAAATAAAAATTAGTCGCATTCTTTACAGACATACATTCCACAAGAAGCAAACTTCTACTCAGGAAATATCTTAAAACAAAAAATAAATATAATTAATGACAATATAATTATGTGTTAATATGTTAATTACAAAAAAAAAAACGTAAAAATTACTACTATACAATTACAAAGATAGTTAAGTAAGCAAGTTGAATTTAGTATAAAGTTTCCAAAAAATAATCTCCCCTCATCCATGTTAATTTTATCTATTCCTTTTTAAGTGGTGGCTTGCAGGATTATGACCTCAAATTGAACATCATGGTTGTCACATGCTGTTAAACCAAAAAAAAAAGTTCTCAGAGGGATGGTAGTGCTGCTTACATTGTTGACGAGCTTCACTACTGTTGCCTGTATGTAATTTTTGTATTTTGTTCTCAACAGGACAGTTATTCCGTTCATCTGCTTTCCAAAAAGCGACTTCTTATCTTCAATGACAGGTAGATAGGATGCCCAAGACTTCAAAATGTCCTCAACCTTGCAGTGTAAAACATCAAGAATCCTCTTAATGGTGTTCAAAAAAGTTCCCAACTGCCAAGGACAGACAAGAAAATCCAGTAAGATAGATGCACCTTTTGTAAGTGCTAGAAGGAGAATTCTTTGGTTGAAGACTTCTTTGCTGAACTTTTTTTTTTTTTTTTTTTGAAAGAGTTTTTTTGCTCAGCTTGAATATTTATGACATAAAATGTCCCAAATTTTCTATTCTTTTTATTTGATAGTCCTAATTTGACAAAATTTTCAGACTGAATTCATGATAAACATAATAACAGTCATTTCTGCTACCTAATTCAGTTACTGATATAACCATGATCGGCTATAGTATACAGTTTCAGAACTTACTTGACTAGGAACAGAGTAAAGAGCAGTTGATTGTCTTCCTGTTAGTTTATGAACTTGCATACCAAGCCTTTTTGGAATGCTATCTTTCAATGGAGTCAAGATATCACTGTATTGCTTTTTCATTGCTTTTATGATTGCTCTTTCCACATTTGCGACAGCCTTAAGAAAATCAGCAATTCACATTTAGGAAACTTATTAGAATTAGTAAATAACAGTACTTGTGGCTCGTGGTAGCTGTTGGGTAAAATTCAAAACTCACATTCTCCAAAACCAATGAATATTGAGGCTATCTATTCATGACAACTTCATACTCGATAAGCATTTCTTTGATCTTCTCATACATTTCCTTAGCAAATGGTGAGGTAGAATGATTCGTAAGTATTCCAGACCATGACACTAAGTTTCTTAAGATACTAGTTTGTTTCTTAAGAGTGAAATCCGGCTCTAACTCCCAAACCGAAAACCTGATTTGAGTCCCGTATTCTACCACAAGTCTCTCGTGCCTAGGCGATCGTGTGTGCCAAGTTTCATGCTACTCCGATGCCGTTTGATGATTTTGGGACGTTGACACCTCGAATTCTAAGTTTCTTAAGAAACTAGTTTGTTTCTTAAGAGTGAAATCCGGCCCTGACTCCCAAACCGGGAACCCGATTCGAGTTCCGTCTTCTCCCACAAGTCTCTCGTGCCTAGGCGGTCGTGTGTGCCAAGTTCCGTGCTATTCCGACGCCGTTTGATGATTTTAGGGCATTAACACCTCAAATTCTAAATTTCTTAAGAAACTAGGTTAATTCTTAATAGTGAAAATTGGCTCTAACTCCCAAATCGGGAACTTGATTTGAGTCTCGTCTTCTCCCACAAGTCTATTATGCCTAGACAGTCGTGTGTGCCAACTTTCATGCTACTCCGGCACTGTTTGGTGATTTTGGGATGTTAACACCTCGAATTCTAAGTTTCTTAAAAAACTAGTTTACCTAGAGTGAAATCCAGCCCTAACTCCAAAACCAGGAACCTTATTCGAGTCTCGTCTTCTCCCACAAGTCTCTCGTGCCTAGGCGGTCGTATGTGCCAAGTTTCGTGCTACTCTAACGCCGTTTGGTGATTTTGGGGCAATAACACCTCAAATTTTAAGTTTCTTAAGAAACTAGTTTGTTTCTTAAGAGTAAAATCCGGCTCTAACTTCCAAACCGAGAACCTGATTTGAGTCCCGTCTTCTCCCACAAGTCTCTCATACCTAGGCGGTCGTGTGTGCCAAGTTTCATGCTACTCCGACCCCGTTCGGTGATTTTAGGGCATTAACACCTCAAATTCTAAGTTTCTTAAGAAACTAGTTTGTTTCTTAAGAGTGAAATCTGGTTCTAACTCCCAAACCGGAAATCCGATTCGAGTCTCATCTTCTCCCACAAGTCTCTCGTGCCTAGGTGATTGTGTGTGCCAAGTTTCGTGCTACTTCGACGCCGTTTGGTGATTTTGGGACATTAACACCTCAAATTCTAAATTTCTTAAGAAATTAGTTTGTTTTTGAAGAGTGAAATCCGGCTCTAACTCCCAAACCGGGAATTCGATTTGAATCCCGTCTTCTCCCAGTCTCTCGTGCCCAGGCGGTCGTGTGTGCTAAGTTTCGTGCTACCCTAATGCCGTTTGGTGATTTTGGGGCATGAACACCTCAAATTCTAAGTTTCTTAAGAAACTAGTTTGTTTCTTAAGAGTGAAATCCGGCTCTAACTCCCAAACCGGGAAACCGATTCGAGTCCCATCTTCTCCCACAAGTCTCTCGTGCCTAGGCGGTCGTGTGTGCCAAGTTTCATGCTACTCCGATGTCGTTTGGTGATTTTGGGGTGTTAACACGTCGAATTCTAAGTTTCTTAAGAAACTAGTTTGCCTAGAGTGAAATCTGGCCCTAACTCCCAAACCGGGAAACCGATTTGAGTCTCGTCTTCTTTCACAAGTCTCTCGTGCCTAGGCGGTCGTGTGTGTCTAGTTTCGTGCTACTCCGACACCGTTTGGTGATTTTTGGGCATTAACACCTCAAATTTTAAGTTTTTTTAAAAACTAATTTGTTTCCTAAGAGTGAAATCCGGCTCTAACCCCCAAACCGGGAATCCGATTTGAGTCATGTCTTTTCCCACAAGTCTCTCATGCCTAGGCGGTCGTGTGTGCCAAGTTTCATGCGACTCCGACGCCGTTTGGTGATTTTGGGGCATTAACACCTCGAATTCTAAGTTTCTTAAGAAACTAGTTTGTTTCTTAAGAATGAAATCTGGTTCTAACTCCCAAACTGGAAATCCGATTCGAGTCTCATCTTCTCCCACAAGTCTCTCGTGCCTAGGTGGTTGTGTGTGCCAAGTTTCATGCTACAATAAAACCCAGAGCTCCTCAATGTTAGTTTGGAAGAATCATCCCAATGTACTCAAAATCAGAAAAAGGAAAATAAAAAAATAAAAATAAAAATCTTATAAACCACTTAGAGGCTTCTCCATCAATGACAGTTGCAGCATGATATCGTCTCGCAAATATTGGAAGACCTAACCAGATTAGCATGAATAGGTGAAGAATACACATCAATTGATCCAATTCTGAAATTTAGTGCTAAGAATGGGAAGGAACTATTATATAACTCACATTCACACTCCATTTTCTTGTTGAAAAACATGGATTATTTTGGAAATTAGTTGTACAGAAGCTTAAGTTTTCTAATCAACAACATAAATCCTTATTTCCATGTAAGGGTCATCTGTTTTAATTCTTGTATGGAGTATGCAGTGTTCATTAACACCAAAAAGCTAAAGCTAGAAGCTGAAAATTTTCATCAGCAACCCCAACCAAAATGCATATTATTTAGGCCAACTCTCAAGTTCCAATATATATATGTGCTCAAAATAATTGAATTGCATCAAATGGAAATGCAAAAAAGAGGGGAAATTTAGCTGACACAAATTTCTGACGCAATCAGCTTCCTCTTTGGCGAATCTGATGGTGTATCTTCTTGGCAAAGAAAATTATTTCCTAACTTCAAATGAATATTTCTATTCCCGGATTTTATTACAATGAATACACGCACACACACACAGAACAACACCTATTCATTTACGTTGTATGATATGATCTACCAAATGCCGATCCATAATATCAGATTCAAATCATCTATGGCATTATGATTTTCATTAATAAGAAAATCAAGAATTCTAACAGCATAGTTTTAAATTTTTTACTCGATGAAAACTCAACAAAAGGAAGTAATTGAATCATATATAGGTGAAGCATGATGACAATTAACCAAAATCAACAATGAAAATTACTTTGCTTTACTATAAATATGCATGTGCTTAAGGCAAAGTTGTTTTAGTAGTTATCGTGAATTTAATCATTTCATGGGAGAAATAAACAAATCGATCTACTAAGTTTTCTATAATTAGAGAAGCAAAAAAATTGAAATTTGGAATATGACAGCTATTTGAACAAAGCTTGTGATATGATATATCATAATAAAAATATTATTAATTGAAAAATAATAATAGCCAAGTTGGAATTGGATTGTAAAACTATAAAATTATTTCAGCATGAGTGTTTAGTTGGTGCCACACTCGTCATGATTTAATTGTATTGTCAAAAATTAGCTAATGTGATGAATTATAGTTTCAATGGCATTGATAGAAAGATATGTGCTATAGTATCTTGAAAAAAAGATCTTCAAAAGCAATATTTTCTGTGGTAAGCTAAAGTAAGCATGGCTGAACACGATAACTTCTTCAAATTCTGATTAAGGAAACAAATATATCAACATTCAAAAAACAAACAGAAAAGAATGTAGAAAGAAAATGTGTTGCTTTTGATCATGATTAAATACTCTAAACATCTCTGTGGCAAGCAGAGGAAAAAGCATTTATGGTTTTTCCTGATTCAATTTAGTAAATGCCCATTATGTTTTGTTCTTCCATGGACTCATTTATTTCATGTTTTGTACAAATTCCTTATATTCAAACTCCTAACTCAAACCCAGTTGGTTTTTACTATATTCACATCTTCTAAGTTTCTTAAGAAACTAGTTTGTTTCTTAAGAATGAAATCTGGTTCTAACTCCCAAACTGGAAATCCGATTCGAGTCTCATCTTCTCCCACAAGTCTCTCGTGCCTAGGGCAAAACCCTTTCAAAGAATTGAACTTTTAGAAGAAAAAAAAAATTAGGATTACAAAGGAAATGATTACCACTCAACACAAACTCATAAATCAAAACAAATTAATGAGTACAAATAATGTAATATACTGAAAGACTGGACAAAGAAAAATTAAAACACATATTGAGAGAGAGAGAGAGAGAGAGAGAGAGAGATGAGAAGGAAGAAATACCTGTTGAGAAATTTCATTTTGCAGAGATGGTCTTGGTTTCATTGTTGAAGGTGGGTCTTAAAACACATATATAAGCAGAGCATTTTTTTTTTTCTAGAAAAATGGAGAGTAAAAAAAAAAACTCATATTTGAAAAAAAAAAATTACAACAATTTTCAAAACTCAGATTTGAATATATCTCTTCAAAATTCATTACAAAACTCAAATTTTAATTAGATTGAAAATCATTTAAAAACCATGTGTTCAATACAAGGGAAAAAATATACATCTTCTCTTTCCAGCCCTAGAAAACAAAGAAACACCAAATCAAGAAGCAAAAGGTCCAAATCTAAAGACCCATTTCGTCAAAAAACACTACAAAGAAACCCAAAACAGAGAATAAGGGAATGAGACAGTAGAAAGAGAGCAGAGAGAAAGCACGTACCAAATCCGCGAGCGGAGAAGATGAGGCGGGGACCGGCAAGGCTACTAGTGGCGGCGACGACTGGCAAGGCTACTAGAGGTGACGGCGATGGCAATCGGCGTGGTGAAGGAGCAAGAGGTGAGACAAATGTTGGTTATCAATCTGTGAATACGATGAGATGTTTAGAGCTGTTAGGGTTTAATTTGAGGATTTTTTGTTTAGGGGATTGGGGATTAGGGATTTGAGATCGTGAGAAACAAAATGGGGGAAAGAAAAGGGGGGAATTCAGATGGAGTGGGAAAACAAAAACAGAAAAAAGAAAAGAAAATGAGAGTTAGGAATATGCGGTGTGAACCACGTCGTTTGGACAAAATGTTTAAAACTTGTTTAGACTTAAAATATTTATATTTATTTTTGTATTATTTATAATAATGGGATCATATACATTATAATTGAAAAAAAAAATTGATTGAAAAAAAATTAATTAAAAAAAATTGTTAGTCACATTTTTTAATTTCTGTTTAAAAACCAACGTAAACTCATTTTTTGAGTTTATAATTTTTCCTCAAATTTATAAATTGAGACAACCATTTATAAACCAAAAAAATTATTAAACAAGTTTTTATGACAGTTTTGTAAATTTTTTGTAAATATAAATTGAAAATTGAAAATGAAATGGTTACTAAACAGGCCCTAAACAATGAATCCATGGCTCATTTACTAATTTTTCTATTTGCGACAGGGGTATTGTCATCGCCGATAACTTGTATTTGCGACGGGGGAAGGTTGCCGTACCAAAAAAAAAAAAACTCATTTTTTTGCCAAAAACCTTCATGTCCATTTTGCTGCGCAATGAAAGCTAGAAAGAGAGAGAAAAACATAAAATGAAAGAGAAACAAGAGATAATTAGTGAGAGAAAGAAAGAGATGAACGAGAGATATAGAGAAAGACAAAAAAAAAGAGAGAAAAGAGAGATTAGCAAGAGAAACAGAGAGAGATATAGAAGAGAGATGAGTGAGAGAGAGAGAGAGAGATAGAGAAGAGAGATGAGTAAAAGAGAGAGAGAAGAGAGATGAGCGAGAGACACGCTGTAGACATCCCCGAACGTCCCGGGAAAATCCTGTTTTGTTCATTGGGCTCACTACAGTTCGGGCTCAATGTCACGGTTCTGAATCTAATCTCACAAAGTGCAATGCAAGATCGATAAATCACCAAAGAGTCCAAATCCGGAAAATCGTTTTGAAAAACTGATTTTTAGAAAGAAGTGTCAAACATGGACTGCTTTGCCAGATACAGAGTCGCCACCTAAATGTTTTTATTTTGAAAAATTTAGGAAACCCTGACTTGCGCCTAAGGCCACGTGTCCGTCATCACCAAAGTTACCTCGGCTCGGGAACTTGGGTACGAGAGGGGAAGGTCAAGCAATGAGTACCCCCGCTCGCCCGATCAAAGATCAGCCACTACTAAACATGATATCTTGTTTTTGAAAACACATGTGCTCTTATTCCGAAAGATCGGCCATTACTAAACATGATATCTTGTTTTTGAAAACATATGTGCTCTTATTCCGGTTTATTAGCCTAGAATTGCTACGTGATGCGTACAGCATACAAGTATAGGCTGGATCGTCTAAGTTGGAACAAAACATCTCATGTTTGTTTCTGGAAATGGTTTGCTACTCGCAAGTAGGCTAAAATGCGGATTTTGCCACCCTCAAGTGGGCTTAGAAAACATGGTGATTTGCCACTCTCAAGTGGGCTTAAAACTCGCAATCGATGAATTGTTCCAATTTAAATAATCCAACCTTCACCTACAGGCATTCAAGCAGGTATATCACATAAGCAGTTAGCCTCATGGCAAGCATGCTATCATGGCAGTCACTCACACACATGCAAGGATGCTAAAGCATAAACATTTACCGAGTACTCCGAGCCAAAGAAAGAAGCTAATTAGAAATCATGCATGAATCCTAACTATGCTTAGATGCCTAATGCAACACATGCAGGATGCAACTAAGATAGGCTCGGCTATTCTAAAATGGCATATGAGATGTTACAGATAACATGTATTCGACTTGGAATTGAAATACAATGCAGGTAGTATGATGCGCCGAGCCCGGTGCATGCAAGACAGATGAATGAATGTAAACATGCGAAACATAAGGATACTAATTGAAACATGCCCTAAAACTAACCATCGTAAGGTAGTAAATAAAAGGGAGAAAGACGTGGGGTTGGAAGACATGCATCACACACACGCACACTTACTACAGCAGTTGGCCCTTTCGACGGAGGGTCCGAATAAATAATACAACACCAACTTACTAATCTAAGCCAATCTAATTAAGTTAGTTATTACACAACCATAATGAACAATAAATTACAGCTAATTATTACACAACTTTAATTAATTAACAAACTAACTAAGTAAGCAATTAAAATAGCATGCAAACTACATAAATGTGGACTGCCTTAGCTCTGCTTTGGATGACAAAGGATGCATGCATACTCGAGTCGCCTTGTTCGGAAATCCTTTGCGACGCCCCAACTCGCCTTTGTTTGCAATTGATCTCAGAAACTTGCACAAAGCTCCAGAGAGATGAAGCTCCACCCTGGGAATATGTGGGAAGGCTGTCGACCAACTTATGGGCATGGGAGACCACCTGTCGACCACCTTTTGTGGTGGAAACCAAAAAAAGTGGTCAGCCTGCTAGTAAATCTGGTCGGCCGACCAGTTTCCTCTCCTGGTTTCTGGTTTTTTGCAACAAAGGGAAAGAGAGATGCACGGCAAAGTATTTGCAACACATGTGTGCACAACCACTCTCCTCATCATTGCATAAGCTCAAGGGAGTGTAGTCATCGACCCTCGGGCCACCAATCACTCATTTTGATGCATGATGGCCGAGGAGCCAAATTGCACGACTCAATGTGAAATGAATGCACACACAAGCACCTAAAGCCAACAACTTCGTCATGGGTAGTCAAGAGTGTCGGCGACCGGGAATTAAGGCACGTTTCATCACTTTAAGTATGAAACGTCCCTCGCTTCCCGTGTTCGGACTAACTCCTATTCCAAACACAACGCAACACATAACATGGCATGCGCAAATGCAACTCTAGCATGCAATCCTAAATGTAATGCAACTAAGTCATGTAAACATGTAAGGGATAACATGCAAACATGCAACTAGCATACATAATGCTATGAACTAACAATGGCATACTCAATGCACGTGACACTTAGCATGCACAATGCACATAGAAACTAACATACACAATGAGATCACAATGCAATGATCAATCATACGACAACATGGCATACTCAATGCTATGGACTACAACGGCATACTCAATGCAAAATGAACTTAAACCAAAATGGATGGGCCTCAACTACACCCAAATCAGTGGCCAAACATAATGAAAACAAGACTCCAAAACTCATGCTAGCATACACAATGCAAGGACCTAAGCCCAAGGGCACAAAATGCAACTCTACAAAAGCATTAAAAGGATTAAATATGGCATACAATGACACATGTTCTAGCTCTAAAATGACATACAAAATGGCTCCGAATCATGTAAACAATTCACACAATGCATGTTGAAAGGCTCAAGTACCGAAGCTAGCGAAGAACATTACACTAGAGGCATGCAAGGCGATGCTCAAATGACAAAACCAACTCCAAACAGACCTTAAGCAGGCCAAAAATAGTGGCAAATGAGCCAAGATGGTGGCTTGAAAGGCATAAGAATGAAACTCAATGCAAAGGCTTATAAATGGGGTATAATGATGCAACTCTCAAACACATTGAAAGAGTAACAAACATGAGAATATGGCCAAGAAATAAACTCTGAAATATCATGCTCAATAATGCTAAAACATGCAAACACCTCAAGTTAAGCATGCAAGGGGATTCAAAACTCAAGGCTAAGCAAGGCTATTACATTACAACCATACATGGAAAGAATCATTCGACCAAGGGATCTCAAAACAGAGCTAAGGCAGCCCAAAATATGAACAAAATCAGTTTGGAGCATGGCCAAAATATGCTAGCATATAGGACCAAAACAACATGCATTATAAGCTAGTGAACATGATTTACACTACAAGCATGTGAAGCATATGAGAGGCTACCAAACCAGCCATAAAAAGAATCATGGCATGCCAAATGATGGCCAAAAACCCACTAAAACATGACCAATACATGCAAGAATGAGGTGTTACTTTGATAGACTATGCAAGGGATTGTTCTACACATGCAAGAGGCAAACAAAAGGTGACCAAACCAGCCATAGACAGAGTCTAGGCAAGTCCTAAAAGTCACTAAAAAAAGGCCTGAACCAAGGCTAGGAAGTGTGGAAATATATGCTCCCTTGGAAAGCCAAAAATGCAAGCAAACAATGCCAAAAGAGAGAGGGTCACCCCTCTCTGATTTTGGCCCTCAAAACCACATGCCAACCACTGAAAATTTGCTGAATTTTAGTGGCTAAAGGGCCAAGCAAAGCTCAATACAAAGGTCTCATGGCATGGCTCAAAATAAGGCTAAATAGAGCATGCAAGAGGGTAGATGACCCCCAACACCAAAAGAGCCTTAAACAAACATGAAAATAACTTAAATATGAACCTTTTTTCAGTTGACAACAAATCTCAAATAAGCATTCAAATGAGGCCAAGAGAATGATCAAAATAATGCTTAAAAGAGGGAAAAGTGATTATCCTTGAACCTCAGCAAAAACCAGCAAACTTTGTGTCTTTAACCTCTGAAAACCACCTCCAAGAACCTCAAATCAATGGTGGAAGTGTATGGCTATGAGGTGCAGTGTAAAAGGGTCAAGAACAATGCACCTTATGAGCCAAAATATAGATATAGAGAGATATGTATTGTTTTGCCTTAGAGAAAACCTGAACCCGGTTCAAGGAGGGGGAGGGCCTCTCTTATAGATAAACAAGGCCAAAGCTTCTTCAAGAAGCTAAAAACAAGGCTCAAGATCATTCATACACGTCTATGGAGGATACAGTCTGTGCCTTCCAGCTGGCACAGCTGGCATCCACTCAAACAGACAAAACGGGAGGGAGCTAGCCGACCAGAAAATGTGGTCGACCGACCACTTTCCCTGGTCGGCCGACCAGGGCAACTAGTCTCCCACATAAAAACTGGTTGGCCAATGCAAATGGTGGTCTCCACATTGAAAGCAAGCCAATGGTGGAGTGGGAAACCAGAAAATGTGGCCCAAAGATCAAGAAAACCAGTTTCCCAACAAGAAAATCGGCTGGCGGGGAAAA